CCCGCGCTTCCTGGGAAGGGCCTGGGCGCGCCCTCTGGCTCGCCAGCCACAGGAGGGGCGCGCGGCCCGCCGGCCCAGGCCCAGGCTGTGAACGCCCAGGCGGGAACCCAAAAGGGAAACACACGGTGCTTGCGCGGCCCGGACACACGCCGAGGACGAGTCGTCTGTGCACAGCTAGAAATGGCTTTCGTGTCTGCAGAGACGCCCATTACGGCGCAGTCGCGCGTGACCGGCAGACGGGCGGGGGGACTCTCAGACATGGGCGCTCGGCTGCGTCCTCTGGCCTTGTGAGCACGGCGGAGGCACTGCTCGCCCGCGGGAGGTGCCCACGCTGCCCGCCGGCGCCGCTGTGTGACGGGCCGCCGTGACATACGCGGGCCATCGTTCAGGAAAAGTTGGGCTTGTGGGGCTGACCGGACAGGTGGGCGGGCCGGGTGGAATACTACGCAGCGGTGAAAAGGAGTGAAGCGCGTCAGTGAGAGGCGGCGCCAGAAGCGGCCAGTCCCCAGAGTGCGAGGGAAGCTGTGCACCGTCGGGACAGCGCTCTCCCTTTTGTGTGAGTGTTGCGGTGCTTTTCCTTTTCTTTTTTACGTTTCATCTGTTGTGGCCTCTCGCCTCACCTTTCCCTGCCGAAGTGAGTCACGTGGCCGCTTCTCGCTTCTGGCGGCTGTGGGGGTCGCAGAGACTGGCGACGGGAGCGGGAGAGAGGGTGAGCCGTGCCGGGAGGAGTCTGCCGGTGCCAGTCCAGGCCCTTCGTGTCCCTTGCGCCTGGCCACGTCAGGCGTCTCAGAACAGAGCGCAGGAGGCGGGGAAGGGAGGACCCCGGGCCCCGGCGTGGTGGGCAGCACCGGGCCGTGAGCGCTGGGCACAGCCTGCACGTGGGGACTCGCGGTGACGCTCACCCGACACTTACGCAACCCGGAATGCAGTGTCACCCCGACTTCTAAAGTGAGCTGTCTCGGCCTAATCCAGCTTACAACACACTGGCCGTGTCATTGAGTCAGGTGAAATACAAGAATAAAAAAAAAAAAGTAAATCTGAAAAAACAGAAACCGACAGGCCCTGTGACAAAGACAGGTCACCTGCCCCAGACCCAGCGCTGGGCTTCCTGCCTCCTGGGGACAGCAGGGCGCAGACGCCCTCCCTCGGTCGGGGACCCTCAGCCAGGGGTGGCTCCCAGCGCCGGTGGTGCCTGGCTAGGAAGGGGGCTGGAGGCCGCTTGTTCAGAGAGCCGGAGGGGTGTCGGGAAACAGGGGCGGCCCGCGGCATGCGCGGGGGCCTTCTAGGGGGATACCTGGGCCGCTTCCTCCAGTGTCCCCTGGCCCAGCTGTGCGGGGGCTTCTGGCGGTGGCAGCTGCCTGGAGAGCGGCTGGGCGCAGCCTGGGGCTCAGCCCCTCCCCGGCCCCCCTCCCCGGCCCCTCCCAGCACCCCTCCCCAGCACCCCTCCCCGGCCCCTCCCCAGCCCCTGGAGTCCACGGCACTTCTTTCTCTCATGGCCG